TTATATACTCAGATTTTTCTACGTGTAACTTGATCATCCACGTCTTTAACTCTACAAGGTACACGACGAACTTCCGGTATTTGAAAATAATTAAAGCATTTCTTACAAAATTTATATCAAACTTCTACGTTATCAAACTCCCAACGTAAGCGTCTTTAGTGGCACGAAGATCGAGCCCGGTACACATCATTTCACGCCAAGTGCGCTGAGCATATTATTAGTTATAAATACTATTTAGTTATAGCGGGTACAATTCAGTTACTTAAGGCAATTCATATTTGTTGTTACCTCGATGGAGAAAACTATGTCCCTCATTATGCTCTTAGAACAAGAAAGAGGAATGTTAGTCAAGAGAGCTTCCTCGAATTTGTACAATTGAGTCTGGGTTTTTTAGTGTATGACACTAAAAACCTGACTGCCATCTTTACTTGATTACAGACAATATTAAAATCTCAGAAATTCATCTCACCCTGTATAAGTATATCTAACTCTCGACTGACTCTTCTTTTTCCCCATCATCTTACGTCGCGTCCTATAGAACAATCATCTCGTGATATTAGATGCGTTGATATTCGCTCGCGTGCTGACTCAGCTGACTGCCTTTTGAAATTCTGTCAGCCTTAACAGCTTCCGGAATTTCTGACCGCATCTCAGTGCGATCAAGGAGGTACAGTCAGGTTACCGCGACGGCGGCGTGCGTGAAAAATTCACAGCGGTCAGCCCGGTAATTTGAGGGCGGTTAATAGCGAGCGTGTGCTGAGGAGAAGCGAGGAGCAACAGAACTCAACGGGGGAAAGCGCGAGAGAAAGAGAAACGGAGAGAGAGAGAGAGAGAGAGAGAGAGAGAGAGATTCATGGGTAGAGTAAAATCGCGCACGAGCTCGGCGCGATATTTAATTCACGAATCCTCTCGATGCCGCGGCCAGGGTGGCTCATGTCTTCCCTCCCGTCGGTGGCAAGCAGAGGGGAAAGTGGCTGAAAGGGAAAGACGAAGGGGATGACGGAGACGAATGCACGCTCCGCTCGTTGCGAACCGGACAGAGAAGTCGGGGGAGGCTCATTTCCATTAGCGGCATGCATCATACAGAAACTAGCCAGACTATATACACGGGGTGTTCCGCTGCACGTCGAAACAAATTGAGATGCAGACTGCCGCTGAATGACGGCCGACAGTCACTGTCTCTATGGTGCGTCGAGACGCCGTCGTCCTCGCCGCTTATCCTCCTCCTCCTCCTCCTTCCCCTCCGAAGGGGAGGTGATTTTCTCCTCGTCTGCTGAAGCTCCTAAGTACGACTCGAAGAAAGTCTAGATATAGAGCTGTAATAGTGACCGCTGAGAGAAAATTTATCCCAAGCGAAGCATTGTTGCGTGAAATTAATTACGTTCCCTAAGATGTAAACGGGAAGGGATAGATTATCTCCTATCGTGTTTTTAATCATTTTAATTATTTCGTACATTATCGGACCGGCCCTTCGAAACATTTCTTTCGACCGATCGTTAGTTACAACAACATCGTAGTTTCAGTCTAATCGTAAGCGCGAGATCCACTTAGCGCTTACGAATGCTTCGAAGAATTCGATCGAGCGAATTAGAAGAAGAATTTTATACTTTAATCGACTAATCGAAGTGCCTTCCGCATTCGCGTCGAGCGCGAAACCATAGTTCGAATCCCTGTCGGAACGGAAAAGAAGAAAAACGGATAAGGGGAACATCGCGATCCTCGTTCGCGCGTCCTTAATTAATCCTCCGGCTGCGTGCAATACGCAATGTTTTCATTATAAAAATCTTCTATCACGTCCTTCTATTCCCGTCGCAACATGCGTCGAACGGGATTATCCGTGTGGGAGAGAAAGGCGGTTGGACGGGCGTTGCATTCCGTGCGCGACGTAAGAACGACCTGAAAGGGACGGCCTGAAAAAAGAAGTGGGGGATGACAGAGCAGGGTGGAGGAGAGGGTAGGGAGAGGGGTGGAAAAAACGCGGAAAAAGAGGGAAAAAGAAAGAGAGAGAGAGAGAGAGAGAGAGAGAGAGAGAGAGAGAGAGAGAGAGAAAGGGGGAGGGGAGAGAGAGGACACGCTGGCGAGGGTGGGCGACCGCGATATACAGGGACGCTCGCAATTTTCTCGTCAATGCACACGTCAACCGGCACGTCGCGTATGCACTCTGTACGGTGTATTCCGCGAGCTGCACCGCAGAGCGCGCGGCGCGGCGCGGGGGACGCGAGACAATGAAAAATGCACGCGCCACGATATACTACTTGCGCGTCCAAGTTACAACTGCAGAGCAGGCTCAATCTCTCCCCCTCCCCCTCCCCCCCTCTCTCTCTCTAGCTATCTCTTTTCTTCCTCTCCTCCCCCCCGTCTCTCTCTTCCCCTCTTGGTCTCTCACTTATGCGTCCTCCTCCGGCTCGAGCGAGAGGCTCGTCGGAAACAGCGAGCGGGCTGCTCAATAATTCTTTGTGTGGTTTAGCCGGGAGATGCGTGTGCACGTGTATTGACGCGGGGCTATTTCGCGAAATTGCCAACGCTCCGTGCCATCCCCCTCGTGTCACGGCGGCGGTGGAGACGTTATTTCGCTGCACACACCGTCGCCTTTCGTTTCCCTCTCCTCGCTGCCAGAAAGCCCTCCCGTTTTGATGACCGGCGAGAAACCCCGAAAAACGATTTACGGTAACTGCGCCGCCACGCGGCAGTGGGCGGGGGAAGGAGAACGTACATTTGAATAGATTTGAACAATTTAAATATACCGCGGCACAATACGAGGTTCTCGTATACGGCGCGCTATCTGCACTTCCGAAGAGTGACGTTTCCGCGTTCTCGTCAAATCAAAAAGAATACTGAAAACAGTCCATTGTGTGAAATAGTATTTAAGTTACATACGCGTTTTCTGTCGATACTCAAGGATGAAGGATTAACTTTTAAGTAGGTAAATGGAGTGGTCACAACATCCTCAAATGCAGTTTTCTTGAAAATCTTTTCATGGGAAAAGAAAAAGAAAGTATTACCTAGATGCCCAGAATCTCAAGATTCACATTTATTTTTATATATTTGTTTAATGTTTCATAAGAATATATATAGTATATATAAAACTAATGTAAATTTAACTAGCATAATATATTGTAAACAGATACGACTATAGAATTAAAATTTAATTTCTTGTTCACTCTATACTTATCCCTTATTATACCTTGCGTATCTTTAAATCGCATATTTGTCTATTTAAAGTTAATGCGTAAAAGTTAGATCCATTTACTTTCGTAAGTTTTGATCGATTTTAGTTTGAAATAAAAGATACATCTTTAGTGGACGAGATGGATGATAGCCGATATCTTTACGCACGAACGTCTCTCGAAGCGGCATTCGGCTTTTTGCAAGTAGAAATTCGCGAACCTATGAAACTTTGGAGCGCGAGGGAAAAGGGAAAGAAAAAAAGGAAAGAAGTAGAAGGATTTGAGCGGCAATCGGGGCGCATCGAGCGACTCTTAAAAATTAATTTGAGAAGTCAGTCCGGAGAAAGGGGAGGCTCAGTCCGGAAGTATAATACTATATATACAACAAGTATAACCGGCACACGCTTGCCTACGATATTGCAGAAATCGCAAAATCCGAAAGCGTAAGGGGAAGAGGCAAAACTTTTCAAATGAGCCAACTTTGCGTGTGTCTTGCGCTTTCGGTACCCTGGCGCCAAGCCTCGCATATTAGCAAAGTTGTCGGCCGAGGTGAATAGTTCGGATTACCTCGGTATTTTCAATGCATACAATTTTTCCCTTGTAGTCCCGGAAAATTGTTGGTAAGTCGCCTCTTTGTATTGTGTCACATTGCAGAATCGAGCACAAAAAGGTCAGTGAAAAATAAAGGTTTGGTAATAATCAAACCTATAGCGAGGTTGAGAAGTAACGCGTTTGTACACTGCTAAATTTATAGTGTCAATTTTAATGCTATACAGTGTCAAATTGACAGTATGTAGTTTCAAATTTAATTATTTTTATAATGTATTGTAACAAAATTATTTTTAGATCTGTATCTATCTAAACTTTTTTTAGATATTTCGGCAAAACCGTTTCCACAAAAAAATCAGTGTTTAGATGGACTAACTAAATGTCAATTATACTTTTCCAAATATTTAATAATTATTACCAAACAGTTGCTTATTATTATATGAATCTGGTATTATTTATATTAAATATTGCATCAATACACTGAAAAAAATATATAGTCAATTGTAATAAATATTTAGTTGAATACTGCCAACTAAATATTTATTAAATATAAAGATATATTTGATACAAGAAACGTTAATTTGATTTAACAATCTTTTTTTTTATTGAACAAATATTTACTTACTGCAAGTAAATGTTTCGTTGGCAGTGTTGAATGAAATATTTATTAAAATTAACTGTATTTTTTCTCAGTGTACGCTAAACAAAATATATTTGGTAGCGATTAGCCCATTTTTTCTCAATGTAAAACTCTCAATGCCAAACTGTTACACCTATCTTGCCTATCTCGTGAACTCCATTTAAGTATTTATGAGATGAAATCTTTTATTATACTTATTACCCTTATCTTATCGTGGTTATTATTAACGTATCATTTATTTTAAAATGAAGGTATAAGCTTACGATTAGATAATTAGAAAATGAAACAAGCGATTCGATAATTAAAACGTTCTCTCGGCCGTGATCCGATTTAATGGGATTTAAAAGTATATTGATATCTTCTCTGTTACATAACTTGGAATATTAAAGTCTAAACAATTGGTGTTTTGCGTGATGTCAAGCGGCACCAATAGGGATTAAAATACTTCAACTCCCTCTTTCTCCCGCGGACGAGGGTCGATTTCGATGAAATAATTATCTCGGCGAAGGTCGTTTTGCTTCCGGTTAGAGAAAAGAAGATTGCTCGGATAAAAGATTAAGTCGTTTCCCCAACCAGCCGTTAAATCGCCGCTAATCGTTGTTCCAGCACACCGATGTCTGACCGAGCGACCTTTTCTGTTTCAGGCCAAGTTGTTGGAGTCGTCCCACGCTTGGCTCGGCGCCTCCACCTCCAGTATAGCAGGTGAGTCCCGTTTTCGTTTTTCTCCTCTTCGTCTCGTTTCGATACGTTTCAGGAGATAATCGCCCTCTCGACACGGCCCCCAGGCCGGACGTAAACGTGGAAGCCTCCACATTAGGCAACGCACACAACACGCGAAACAACGTCTGGTTGTCTATGCTCTATGCACAGGGTGTCCTCGTACTTTCTTTTACCGATAGATTTTGCCGAAATTAAAGTTGTAAAAATAAAAATCATGTTTACGATTTTTTTTTTTTTAGCTAACCCCGAGGAACAAATTTTTCGTACATTCGTGACTATAAACAATTCCATGGTTACATAATAATAATTAATAACAGTCAATAATAGTCAAATTCCAAAAGCCTTTCTCAATGGTACGTAATCGAAATATTCAGTGTAAATGAAGTTTAAATAAAGTTGACGTTATCGTGGAAATTTGAATAATGCTAGTATAATAACAAAACATATGATTGTTTCCTGTTTTTATTATAATCGCGTATATACATGTATTTTTGGAAAATTGAATTTATCTCCAGTTTTAATTACTTACGTGGCGTTTATCGTTAAAGGAAAGTACGATTAGTCGAAGACACCCCGTATAACCTGTTTCGCGACATCTGTAAAAGACTTCACATCCCTCTCCTACAATATCTGTTGCATTATCTGCCGCTTGTATCTGTATCGAACGAATTCCGACGATCGGTTTTCGTAGTAAGTAGTGGCGCAACGACCGATCATCCCTTCCGAGTTCGAGTGGAGATTTCCTGTTCTCGAGTATCCCTCGAGCATCCCTCGAGGGCTGTTGTCCGATTCGCTCCGCTCCATTTTCAAGTTCATGGTCACGTTGTTGAATCATCAGCTTTGTACGTGACAAGCCTCGTCCTAGAAACGACGACTGATCGTCTCCCAGACTTTCGTGCTCGACCTTTAGGTTTTCGCGGGGATGGAACATCCGTCCGTTATTCGTAGATCGATACGTCTTACTATTTACCTTCTTTGCCTTTTCAAATGCTACTTGCTGACGTTAAGGGAGTTCCTGGAAGCACGACCGTCGTCGTCGTTGACAACCACGGGAGGTGGCAACACGAGAGAGAGTACGAAGAGAAATCGCGGTGTGGAGTTATACGTGGTAACCGAACAACAATAAAATAAAGGGAGGGACGTGAGCGCGGGCCCAACCATAATAAAGCGCGGGAATGCGTTTCGCTTTAATATAGAAAGCAATTTAGATAGACGATGCCGGTAGCGAACGCCAGTTAATAGCGGCGATAACATGTCCACGATTCGCAAGCGAAAGGTTCAGCGTCTAACCCCCTTACGCGCACCATCGATCGTGGTTATATATTGTACCTTTTGAATGTAAGTCTCCGTTTGTTAAATCTTTGGACACTGCACTAGAAACAAGGATCCTTTAATATTTACCGGTACTTTGAATCCATGAATCAAAGGACGAAATTAAATACCAGATCCAATAAAATATCCGCACTTTTAAATCGGCGTATATATTATATTCAAGAGGCTCGAGAAGTATTTGTAATTTCGTATTATTGTATATTTTACAATATACAATATATTTATTGTATTCTACATGCGTAGTGCTCGAAGCTATGAATATTCCAAGAGAAGAATTTTTAGTATTTGTGACTATAATTATAACATGTTATCATAATTATGATTATTATGCTGTAATGACAATAAAAATAACTATATGTA